AAGTCCGTGTTATTAGGAAAGGCCTCTGCGTTAGGCAAACCTAGGAACCTGGCTCCTCCACTTACTCAGACAAGTCCCATCGGTTGTAACATGGGTGACACTAATGCTACAGCGTAGTGTCACTGGAAGGATTCATCGGGGCCCTCGGAGCCACCACCGTGGGCAGCTTCTCAACTCTCCCTGCACGTAAGGATTTGAACGCAGCCCGAGGTCTCCCCGCCCCATACCAACAGGCGGGTCAGCCGCTCTGCACATGACCCAGCAGGGCCAGCCTCAAGGTCCACGCACCTCCCTGGGTGTGTGATGTGGAGGTTTGGTCCCTGCCCATCCCAGCTGAGGCCTCTCCACAGCCCACCGCACACTCCATCCCCGAGTGTTTGTGGGAGAAGCACAAGTCTCATTTGTAATTGGAGAATCTGGTCCCATCATCTTACTTAAAACTCTTCGATGCCTTCACATTACCCTCCAGGTCGAGCCCCTGCCCACCCTGGTCTTGGGCCTCCTCCCTGCTCATGGCTGCTCCCTGCCACTTGGAGCTGCATCCAGGCCTTCCTGCCTCAGGGCCCTCGCACATGCTGCTCCCTCCGCTTGACAAGCTCTTCCCACCACCCCCTTCACTTTCCTAACTCCTAAAGAGCCTTCAGATCCACGCTTAGGTCCACCTCTTCCAGAATGCCTCCCCACCTCCCCATGGCTTGATTAGACCCTCTGTTATACGCCCCTGCAGCACACCCTAATTCCTCCATCCTGCGATCACAGCCAGATTTCTGTGCAACCTCCTGTCTCATGTTGTCTCCCTTCCTAGACTGTGAGCACCATGGGGCCAGAGACCACCCAGGCATTTTCTCTTCTATCCCCTGGTGTATGCTTCGGCGTTTGGCAATGCTTAATAACTGTGGGAGGAAGGGAGGGAAGAAGGGGGAAATTAGACTAGAACCACCCAAGAGCCCACAGCCTGACTTCGCTGCTCCCTTCCCCCTCCCTCCCAGCCATCTCCCGCTCTCTTCGGCTCCCCTCTCCCACCCCACGCACCTCACTTTCCAGATTTCTCCTGCAGGTCTTTGCTTAACCACTGGGACCCCTCCAGTCCTCACACTCCCTGGAAATCCACCTCTGCTGCCTCCTCCAGGGAGCCCCACACACCAAGCTCCCTGTCTGTCTGGGAGCATGACATCTCTGTAAGGAGGATGCTGTTGCCCAGTTTACTGTTGAGGAAGCTGAGGTCAGAGGGTGAAGGAGTTTGTCCAAGGCGAGAGGGCTGTGGGGAGTCACACCAGGACAGTGTGACACCACACACAGGGCTGCAAACCTCTCTGCTACCGTCACCTCCCCACAACATGTTTCCTGGAAACTCAGGCTGAGGCTTGGTCTCTGCCAGGCCCAGCAGGGTATCCCTGGCCATGTCTCTATCTTGTTTGACTTCATAAAAGCCGTACTGGCAGCTTTCGGTCTCTGAGTACATCCCATATGCCCCTTTGCATACTTCTCGTTTACTCTGTTTCTGGATCATCTCTCCACTTAACAGGTGAGGAACTGAAGCCCACAGGGAGAGGAGATGGCTTGCCCAGGCTCACACGGCAAGAAATAAAGTGAGGCTAGCATGCCAGCCTGCAAACACAGGGACTTTTTCTGTTTCTGTCTTCCATTCTATCTCTGGTGCCATGAAGAGGGCCCAGCCTGGGTGCAGTACAATCACGTGCTGCACGACTGAGGGATGGAGCCGACCACTGTCCCCAGAAGCTTACAGGCTCATACCACCCTCTACACCTTGCCTTCCTGAGCCCGGGCACACTCAGGCTGGTGCCGCTCAAAGCGGAGGCAAGGCTGTCCTCGTCTTTGCTTCCTGGTGATGCTGGGGGTCAGTACTTGTTAACATGATGCAGGTGGGCGAGCTCCCTGCTGAGGCACGGAAGACTTGCAGAGAGCCATGGTGCACGCTCTGGCGTGGTCTCCCAGCAGGGAACAGGTGGCCCAGGTGGCACAGCCACTGGAGGTCAGGTGGCCACAGCATCTCAAGGGACACCAGCACCAGATGGGAGCAAAGGAGGTGTTGAGGAACTGACAGGTGTGGCCTGTCCCCAAGGCCAGGAAACCACCCCCTAGATGGCAGCAATGATGTGAACTCCACTCTGGGAGCAAGGTGTGGGTGGCCCTGTGCTGAGAGCTCCCCAGGCATCTCATTTGCACCCTGCAGCCCCCTGTGAGGCAGTGCCAGTATTTCTTTTCCATGGATGTAGACTGGGGGACTCAGAGAGGAGAAAGGCCCTGCCGAGTTACCGGGTAGCTGAGGCCTGGTGCTGGAACCCAGGATGATCCGGTCACTTCCCAGAACTGAAGGATGAGAACAGACACCAAGGCCACCACGTGGGTGGGAGGAACTAGAGGTGAGGGGACAGCTAAATCAGTGCTCTCACATTGCATGAAACAGAAACTGACTCCGCCATTTTTAACGTTGCTGAGGTTTCCTGGTGTCTTATGAATGGCCAAGTCAGGGAGCATAGCCAGGCCCAATGAGGGAGACCAGCAAATGACCCCACGTGGTGGATTAAAAATGGCCACAAAATCTTTGTCATTCTCCCTCCACGGAGAAGTGGAGTTGATCTCCCCACTCCTTCAATTCAACTGGCCTGTGACTGCTTTGGCCAATAAAAATGCAGTGAAATTAACACACCGCCAATTTTGGGCCTCAAACCTAAGAAGCTTTTGGAAGCCCTGAGCTGCCGTGTAAGAAGTCCAGTTCCCCCCGCTGGAAAGCCCATGTGGAAAAGGTAAGGCCCTAAGACTACACGGAGAAAGAAGGAGAGAGAGAGAGAAGGGCCCAGCCTTGCAGCCGTGTCTACCAAGGCAGCAGTCATGTGCGTGGGCCCTGCTGGGTGGTCCAGCCTGCTCGAGACCCGTAGCCCCAGCCAAAACCACACGGAGCAGAAGAACCACCCAACTGAGCCCAGTCAACCCACAGAATCACGACAATAATAGGTGGTGGTTTTAAGTTTTGGGGTGGTTGGTTACACAGCAATAGATAACTGAAACACGCTTGGACTGGAAAGCCATCAGCAACGCAGCAAATACTGTTTTTCTCTTTCCTGAGGATGCCAGCCTCCAATCTCTGCCTTTTAACGCACCTGGAGGAAGATAGAGACCTCCCAGCTCCAGCACCAGCAACCAGGTCACTAGGGTCCCCACGTCCAAATTCCCAGAAGAGAGATGCAGATTGGATCAACTTGGGTCAGGTGTCCACCCATTGACCAATCAGCTGAGTCCGTGAGTTACACTGCATCAGTGCTGCCACCCTGCCCTCCCTGTATGCCGCCCCCCACACCCTCGCCCCCGTGTGTGGGGAGGGGACAATCTCAGAAGAAAGGAAGTGTGGGCTGAGCAATTGCCATAGAGGGGCTGTGACAAGGAGCATCCTGGGACAGCAGAAAGGCCCCTAGCCCAGGGATCAGCACAGGGAAAGGGCTCTGTGAAAGGTGCATGTGGTGGTGGCCGGGTCCCTGTCCCGGGTGGTTGTGTGATTGCTGAGTTGCTCTTGTGAGGTTGTGCTGTTATGTTGGTGTGGCTCCTGGGTGTTGCTGGTGGTGGTATTCTGCCTCCTCAAACAGCCTCTGAGGAAGATCCTTCAGGAGGGTCTGAGCTTCTAGTAAAAGCCTTTACATGCTCTCAAGTGTGAATCCAGCAGCACCAGTAAAAATGCTCCATTAAACAAGAATGGGTTCAGAAAATCAGCCAAGCTGCCCCCCCGGGAGGTGGGATTGAGATTCCAGAGGGGCGTTGCTCCAGGGGGCCTGAGAGACGCTGGCAGGCCCCGCGCAGGGCTGAGGGGGCATGGGGTCAGGAGTCCCTCCCTGTGCGGTCCCTGAGGGGAGGGCTGCAGGTGTCCGTGCTGGGGGTGGGGGTGAAGCTGTTGAAGCCCAAGGAGGCCACAGAGAGGACGCCGAGAGGGGCGTGGGGAGGGGGCGGGGGGCACCTAGGGCCAGCCCAGGCTCAGGCTGGGACCCTGCCCATCACCTCTCTCACACACACGCACCCCCACTCCCTTTTCCTCAGCTGGGGTGAGGGTTACAGGGCCCCCTGCTCAACTGTGAGTCCCTCAATGGTGGGGACAGAGTCTGTCTCATAGGCCACCATCTCCCCACTGCCCGACAGGGGGCGTGGGCTCTGTGTTTGTTGTCCGTGTGCATGCATGCATGAATGAATGAGTCGCATCTCGTGCCATTGCCATCCTTCTCCGATGCCTTTTTCTCTTGATGCCTTGTGGTCCTGGATTCAAGTCCTGTCTCTCCAACTGGCCCACTGCTGAGAAGTCATCTTATCCCCAGACATCAGCTTTCCCATCTGTAAAATGGGGATGACGCAAGTTTGTTGTGGGCAGGGTTCCTGGGAGGATGAAGTGAGATCCCGTAAATGCATTTGCAACTGAAAAGGCGGGACAAATGGGAGCTGGTTTTGGAGTCCTCGCTGTCACCGCTGTTACCAGCACTGCCGCCATCCTGCAATCTCCCCCGTCACCCGCCTTCATCAGTTGTTTCTCCAGCTCCCCAAATAACCACGTTGCCGCGGGCCCCATTCAGTGCTTAAGTTAAATCACATTTAATTGTTTTTCAAAAAGGAATACAGAAATCAGAAAAGAGATTCACAGCACTCGCAGTCAAGAAAGGGTTAACTAAAAAAATAGGAATATATTAAGCTTTCGATTGAAAAAAATGCAAACGCAGTCCCTCTCACACTCACCCCTGTGTTCTCATTCACACACATGAGTCCCTGCTCCCAGACATGCCTGCCCTCAGGCACACACATGCTCCCAAACCCACACACGCTCCCAGCACACACATCAAACACACACTCCTCCCCAGGGCTCGCAGGATGGGGGAGGCGGGGAAGCCTGGTGCCTTCTGGGGGACCTCACCCTCCCAACCCCCCTCACTGAAATGGCAAAGCTTGACTAAACTCGGGCTTCAGGGGACACACGCAGGACTGTGAGCTGCGCTTGGGGCGGGGAGATGGAGACGCCACGGCAGGACAGGCGGCCTTAGACGATTCTGTTCTCCAGGACAGCCAGCCGCTTGCTCACAGCTTCCAGTGGACCGGGAGTTAAGGAGAGGCGCAGGGTGACCAGAGCAGGGCAGTGACGCGTGTGGCACCTGCACGGGGGACCCTCACTTCCTGTTTCCTCCAGAGTGCCCCTCTTCTGGGGCTTTCTCTCACTCCTTACAGCACGTGTTCTTCCCAATGTCAAAACTCATCCTTCCCCTGCCCTCAGAATGGTGCCTTCCAAAAACCCAGCCCATCACTGTGAGCCCTGGGTGCCAGCCCTGCCCAGGTGCACCCGGTCCTGACTGAGCCAGGGCAGTGGTTCAGGGCCCAGCCCCATCTCAGTGGGGGCTGGAGTTAGTCATGTCACCAAGAGCCCGAGAAACGGGGTGTCCACGTGGCACCATGTTTTCCTGAGCATGCCCAGGACTCTGTGTGTGTCCAGTCTCTAAATCTTGGCTTCTGCCTCAGTTTCTCTGTTTACCCTCTGGGAACCTCTGCTTTTGACAGGGTCAGTACCAAAGCTGGTGCCAGCCTACCTGGCCAGTCTCCAGCCTGTCTTCAGTAGGAGGCTGGCAAGGAGGAGCCTGCCCAACCCCACCACAGAGGGCGCACGGCTTCCTCCCTTCTCCCCCTATGCCTCGGCCCCCCAGAAGCCTCGGGAAAGGATATGTTTCCTGGTCAGGGCCTGCAGCAGCCCCTCCACTTTGGCCTGGAATTTCACAATGGACTCGCAGGCACACGGGTCTTCCTCTGGAGTGGACAGGAAGCAGGGAAAGAGAAGGGGATGGTGAGTGGTTGCCCAGCAGGGAGGCAGGGTGGACACCGCCAGGTCTAGGCGGTCTTGGGGAGTGTGGGGCCTAGGAGATCCGAGAAGGCAGAGACACGTAGAGGTCTTGAGACAGAGCTCCCAGGAGAGATGGAGGGGGCGACCCCGGAACGTCGTCCCCGTCCCTCAGAGCCCTGATAAAGGACCGTAAGAGCATCTCCACACTGAGCACCTACTGTGTGCAGGACTACTATGTTAGGGGCCTCTACGTCATCTGGTGATTCCTCATCCCAAGTCTCGGGGTTTGAAGTCATTAATCCCATTTTATAAATGAACATTCCAAGAAGTGAAACTTGCCCATGACCAACAGCTAATCAGGGTCAGAGCAAAGATGTAAACCCAGGCATGCACGGCTCTGGAGTTCAGACCCTTTACCCTGGGAACCAGCTGGCAAGGCCAGGGGAGGTAGCAGGGTTAACAATTGCTCTACCTCTCTAGCCTCAGTTTTCCCATCTGTAAAATGGGGATAATAATATGCCTACCAAATAGGATTGAATGATAGAATACTTGGAGAGCACTGAGAACAGTGCCGTTCGTGTGATGAGCAATCAACATATGTTCACTGGCAGTAAGAGTTATACTGGCCAGCCCACCTCCTGGTGGGGCCAACCCTTGGTGCCACCCCAGCTCCTGCTTTTCCCCACCCACACCTAGTTCCAGGATGGCTCCACCCAACACACACAGAGCCCCATCTGCCCCTCTCATCGATGCCAGCTCCACCCTCACTCACCCACGCAGATCCTCTTCTGCAACTTCTTGCCAATCTGGTTGATGGTCTTAAAGTCAGCAGTGTAGAAGTAGTGCTCTGCCACGGGCTCTGAGGCAATTTCCCTCAGCTCGTCCTCCACAGCATTGCCCACACCCACAGCAAACATCTTAAAGCCTGCCAAGAGGAACAAGATGCATAAGGGTGGCCATGCGGACCAGCAGCCATGGCTCAGCCTCCTGGAGAAAGCCCAGGCAATCAGCACCAGACACCTCCTGGTGGCAGCTGCTGGAATTGCAGGCACAATGTCCACAACAGACATTGAGGAAACTGACATTTATTGAGATTCTACTGTATGTCAGACCTGTGCTAACTTGCTCTGAAGCTTTGTAAAATTATTTAACTCTTATAACCATCCATCTGGTGGTTATTATTATCCCCACTTGATAGGTGATAAAACTAAGGCTCAGGCTTGTCGCAAAGTGGGGTTGTCTTCCAACAGTTCATGTGCTTTTGGGAACATTCAAGTGGAAAAGTTCCAAGCCCCACCTAAAAGGACCATCAAAACAAGCCACTTACTTTTCTGGGGCCTCAGTTTTGTCATCAGTATAAGAAAGATGGATGAACCAATCCCTCCTCATTCCCATTGAACTTGGGTTTAGGGCACTAATCAGAAAAGACACTAAGAGAAACTACAGTTGGGCTGTACCCTGTGTACCCCTGGCCATCAGTAGTGTCCAGGGTCCAGGCAGGTAGCACCTACCAAGGTCCTTGGCCTTCTTAGCAGCATCATTAATGTAGTCCTGGCTCCGGCCATCAGTGAAGACAATGCCCACCTTCTGGGCACCAGGCCGAGCCCCACTGGACACAGTGAAGGAGTTGTCAATGAGGTACTTAAGGGCAGCCCCAGTCATGGTGCCCTTCTCCATGTAGGACATGTTCCGCACAGCCGCCTTTATGTCCTTCTTGGTGTGGAAACGGCCCAGTGGGAACTCCTGGCGCACAGAGCTCGAGTACTGCACCAGCCCCACCTGGGCCAGCTTGTCCGACACATCCAGCGTATCCACGATCTGGTTGATGAATTTCTTCACCAGCTCAAAGTTCTCCGGCCGCACACTCTTGGATCCATCGATGAGGAAGACCAGGTCGGTGGCTGAACTGCCACTGCCCCCGTTGCAGACTGGGGAGGGTGGGGAGGCGAGGGGATGAAGCTTAAGGACATAGTCACCCATCTGGATCACAGGCTGGGGACCCACCACACACCCAGCTCTGTGCTGGGGATCATCCCATTTTGTCCTCAAAACTCCCCCTGTAAAGCCGAAGTTCCTGGCCCCATTGTACAGCATTTGAAACTGAAGATCCAAAGGCTGTTAAATGACACAGCTCAGAAGTGGTGGCACCAAGATTTGACCTCAAGACTATGTGACTCCTTCCACCAAACTACACCCACCACTCATTGTGACAAAAAGAGTGACAGAAGTCAGAAGAGAAATTCCTGCAGACCCCAAACTCTAGATGGCATCTATTGTCTTTGCAGATTGGTCCAGAGGCACAGTACAAGGAGGCTCGGATGGGCTTCCAGGGGAGTGGCCAAGGCCCCATCCCCTCCCCACCACCCTCCCCGGGGCTTGCCTGTGTCGAGCCCACTGACCATTGCAGGTCTTGCCATCACTGTTCAAGGTGAAGCCCTCATGGCAGGCACAGGTGTAGGAGCCCGGGGAGCTGACGCACACCTGCTCACAGTCGTGGTCTCCTGTGGCACACAGGTCAGACACCACTGTGGGGACAGGAGGAGACTCAGAATCTCACAGCCACAGGGCCTTGGACGTCTCAGCCAGGATGGCCCCAGCACATACTCAGGGAAACTGAGGCCCCCCAACTAGGTGGGGTCCCGGCCCCAGACCCTCAGTTCAGGGCTGGAATCACTGCACCAGAGCTGACAACCCTGCAGAAGGTGATAATGCTGATGATAAACTAAAACCACTTGCTACAAAAGTACAGCCCACAGGAGCAGGCCCTTCATCTGTCTTGTTCCCTCTTGTACCCCAAGCGTCTAGAACAGTACATGCAGCAATGAATAGCACATAGAAGACGCTCAGCAAGGATTTGTTAAATAACAAGCATTATTTCACTGAATCCTCACAATAAGATGCATGCTCTTCTCAGATCCGTGTTACAAATAGGGAAAAGTCCTTGCCCTGACCCCGCCCCTAGTCTACTGGAGACCCCACCCCTTCTGGCTGGTCACATCCCAAAGACCCCTCACAGGCCCACCTCCCCTCTGCAACGGACTCTGAACCTTCTCCTGCCCAGTGCCCAGGCCTCTGGGACTCTCCCTCAGCACGGAAACTCGGGGCCCCAAACACCTGGGTACAGAAACACGCATAGGTTTTTTAGGCCCTGCTCTTACTGGCTTGCCGCCCCTCCTTGCTCCCTGCCAGGACCCATAAAAAGGGCTCTTGGCATCGTCTCTCCCCAACTCCCTTCACCCCAGCCTGGGGACCCATCCCCAGATCAGGCCCTGCCCCTGGCGCTAGTCCTACCGCAATCCGATTCAAATTTCACTTCCAACCTTGCCCAAACCCACTTAGGCCTTGTCCCCACCCGGGCCCCACCCCTGATGTTGGCTCTCAGTCCCCGCCCTGTATAGGCCACTGCCCCGCCCACACCACGCCCCAGCCCTGGCCCCGCCCCCAATGTTGACTCAGTCTCCGCTTCAGCCCTGTCCCCTCCCACTAGCTCGAGCCCCGCCCTTATCCTTAGTCTCTCAGCCCTGGCCGCGCCCCGACGCTGACTCAGCCCCGCCCAGTCCAGCCTTGACCTTTTCCCCGCCATGCTCCCGCCCCGCTCCCGCCCCGCTCCCGCCCCGCTCCCGCCCCGACGCTGACTCTCTCGGCCCCGCCCCACACCATGGTCCCGCCCCACACCCTGACCCCCCATCCCCGTGCTGGCCCCGCCCCAACGCTGGCTCTCTCAGCCCCGCCCAACTGCCCTGGCCCCGCCCCCACGCTGACTCTCTAGGCCCCGCCCCACACTCTGGCCCCTCCTCCTGCCCCTGCCCCGCCCTAACGCTGGCTTTAGGCCCCACGCCACAACCAGGCCCCGCCCCCTGCCCTGGCCCCGCCCCAACGCTGACTCGGCTCCGCCCCACACCCTGGCCCTGCCCCAGCGCTGACTCTCTCGGCCCCGCCCCCACCGTGGCCCCGCCCCTGGCTCCGCCCCACGCCCTGTCCCTCCCGCCCCTCCCCGCGCACCGCAGAAGGCCTCCTGGAACTTTTTGGACAGCTTCTCGATGACACTGTAGCTCTCCACGTAGTCGACGTGTTCGTCCTGTGGCTCACTGGCGATCTGCCGCAGCGTGGCCTTGTCCACGCGGCCCACGCCGATGGCGAACAGCTCGATGCCGCTGGCCCGGGCCCGCGCAGACACGTCCCGAACGCTGTCCTGGGGCCTCCCGTCCGTCACCACGATGACCACCTGCAACACGCGGGGCGCGTGTGAGGCCCGGGCCCCGTGCCCGCATGGGCTGGGCCGCTCGGCCCTCCAGGAGCCCCCGCCCGGGACCGTTGACAGAAGGGAACACCGAGGCCCCAAGAGGCAGGGCGGCTTGCCCGGGTCACACAGCTAGTCGGTGGCAGGTGTTCTGCCCCGGGAAAGAGAACCTGGCCAGCGGAGGCGGAGACAGGTTTCCTGTGGCTGAAGGACACGGCTGAGGTGTTGTGTGATCTGACTGGGGCCTCTGGATGTCTCCCCACTTAGACCGCCGCCTCTGAGGACAGGGCCGAGCCTGTGTGCCCAACGCCGTGCAGTTCTGCCCTGTGGCCACCAGAGGGCGGCGGAGGCTAAGGAATGGCAGCTCGGCCTCCAGGCCGGCCGTCCTTCCCTTCCCGCCCTGGGAGGGAGGCGGTTCCCACACAGGTGCCCAAGAAACGGAGGAAGATGCCGCCTTTCTCCCTCCATCCCCAGGATGCTACATGCCTTTCCCACAGGGAAAAGACTGCTCCCCTCCCACAGGCTCCTCCATTCTGAACAGTGGAAAGAAGACAGAAGGGACTGAGGCTGGCCCTCACCCCCTGCCTGGGCCTGCCCTAAAGTCGGGGTCCCCACAGCTCTGCCCAAGTCTGGGGCTCAGATCCAGGCCCCTTGGCTGCCTCTCTGCGTCCGACCTGGGTCTGCTTCCATTCCTGGGTCCCCACCCCTCGCCGGGATGCCCGACCCTTGTCTTGGTGACGATAGTACAGTGGCTAAGATAGGCGTGGGTTAGCAATGTGGCTCCCAGTGACAGCTCCCCTCCCTGAGCCTCCCTTTCTTCCTCTGGGGGGTGGCGGTGGTGAGGTCCTCCTGAGAAGACTCAGGGTAAGGAGCCGGGAAGGGCAACTGTTATTCTACTATCACTGCCCCGGACCCCTCCAGAGGCCTGGGCTCCTGGCACTGAAAACCTGGCCATGACTGTTTACTGCCACGTGCTGCCACCGTCCCCTGAGGCCCACTGTCCCCTTGAGTCCCTACTGTCCCCCTTCAGTCCAGCTTTGGGACTTTCAGTCCACCTGGTGGGAGCCTCCCACAGGTGAATTCCAGGCTGAATGCCTAATGTCTGCGGCCGGCTCCGCCAGACCCTCAGTCTCACCTGCTGGAGGAACGCTCTCCTCACCTGCCCACCTCAACCGTCACCCTCATGTCAGAACTTGTAAATGGCCCGCACAGAATAAGACCAGCAGGCTGCCTGACAGGTGATTTCTTTGAGGAGCGTAGAGGCTGGGGTTATAGGCCCTTGTCTGTGTGAACACTTCTACCACTTATTAGCTGGGCAGGTTGCTTACGCTCCCTGTGCCTCAGTTTTCCTCACCTGTAAAATGGGGGTACCACCTCTGAGCGGGGTTTTATCCATGTGGCACTCATGTCAGGTGTATCTCCATGCCAGAGAGTGAGACCCGGCGGGGGATAACAAAGAGTACTTCCCCGGGGCTGGGGCCCTGGGCAGATAAATGGCGACTCCTCGGGCCCATGAAGGCTTCGAGGGGGAGGTGCAAAAGCCTGTGGGAGGACCTCCAGGGGAGGGGACACCTGACCAGCCTCACGGGCCCCAGGCAGAGTCCTGAAAAATTACACTGTGGGTGCAAGCTGTGTCAAAATGTTCACACTCGGCCTGGAGCCCTCAGTGACGGTGTGACTTGGGGGGGCATAGCTTCGCTTTTCTGAGCCCCTACCCTTAAAGGCTTATTAAATAAAAGCTTAGCTAACGCTTCTATAGGGCCTATTCGGGACCAGCACTGTGCCGAGCACCTTATGCGTACGAACTCACGTAGTCCTGCTGCAGCCCTTGGAGAAGGTGTTGCGTTGCTCCCATTTTGTAGGTGAGGAAACTGAGGCACATGGGGTGAAGTAACCTCCTCAGAGTGGCACAGCTAGTACGGTGGAGCAGGGGCTTGAACCCGGACAGGCTGGTGGCAGGGTCCACACCCCTGACCGGCAGGTAAGCATCCAGACCATCTGGCTGTGCCTTCAGGGAGCTCAGACTGGCCAGGGAGCCAAAGTCAACGACACCGAAATAATCAAGTCACCAGATTGTGACTCCTGGGGTCAGAAGGGTGGGTAAAGAGGGTTCCACCCCAGCTCTGCCGCTTCCCGTGGTGGGGTCTGCTCCCCAGCTATAAACTGCCACCTCGCGGGGGCGGCGGGAGCACTAAAGCGCCTGCGGGCAGAGCTCTTAGCGCACGGGGGGCCGACAAGCAGCGGGGTCCCGCAGGGCGGGGGCACGCACCTTGCTGATGTCGGGGGCCCTGGCGCGCCCGCCCTCGGCATCGCTGAAGGCCCTGGTGATGGCGAACTGGATGGCGAGCCCCGTCATGGTGCCGGTTGACAGCGGCCGGATGCGGCGCACGGCCTGCAGCAGCGCGGCCTTGGAGCCGTGGGCCCGCAGCGGGAACTCCTGCCTCACGGCGCTGGCGTAGTTGACCAGCCCCACCCGCGTGGCGTTGGGGCCCACGTCCAGGGACTCGATGACCTGGGACAGGAACACCTTCACCTTCTCGAACTCCACGGGCCGCACGCTGCGCGAGCTGTCGACGACAAACACCAGGTCCGTGGGCCGGGTCCGGCAGAGGTGACCTGGAGGGGGCGGCAGGGAGAAGGCAAGAGCAGGGGCGAAAGTCAGGAGGCTGGACCCTCGCAGGCAAAGGAGCAGAGCATCGGGGCCACTTAGACGTGGACTCGAGGCCTCAGACCGCGCAGACTGGACTTGAGCCGGGCTGACTGGTCCTCTCGTCTGTGTGTGGACCCGCGGGCGAGCAACTTGCCAAACGCTCCCAGCTCAGCCCCAGGGGAAAGATGGAGCTCAAGCCTGGGCCTTTGGTAACTCCCTTCACCTCTCTGAGCCTCAGTCTCCTTGTCCGTACAATGAGCTGATGGTCCCGTCCTTACAGGATCCTCGGAGGATGAGCAAAGGGCACGCATGTGCGATCTCAGGGCTGGGCACCCAGTGGGTGTTCAAGGGGGTGGCGGAGGAAGCCTTTAAAACCCACTTTTCAGGTTCAGCCCAGGGTGGCTGCCACAAACAAGGGGCAGCTATTTCTCCTAGCTGGACAGGAGGGCACTGAGGGCAGGCCCTCTAGGGGTGGGCACAGCCTTGAGGGCCAACGCAGTGCCCGTCAGCATGGCCTCTTTCGTCTGAGCCTCCAAGCGAATCACCAAAGTGCACCGAGTTTCCCTCAGCCGAGCAGAGCCTGCGGGCTGGTGTCCAAGGCCCGGGAAAAGGGGCAGGAACGCCTAGTGGCCACCTTGGCAGCCTGATCCCGTGGCCCCCAGGGAGCAATGTCTTTCCAGATTCCCTGGGAGGGAGCACCATCTGCTGGGAAGTGTGTGGAGCTGAAGTGAGGCAGATGGGCGTCCAAATCCCGGCTCAGCCCCTCTGTGGCCCTGGGCAGGTCATCGCACCTGCAGGAGCCTCCATTTTCTCATCTGTCCAGTGGGGAGAATGAGGCTTCCTGCTCGATGTTGTCACTGGTTTGGGCCTGCAGCCGAGCAGCGCACAATACAAAGGCCCTTCCCTCTACATCCCACAGAGTCTGAGCCTCTCCCGACTGGGGATGCAGGAAGAATCTGGAAAGGGAAGTTGTGCTGGGCTGTCCCACCCCCCAGCCACGGTGACCTAGACTGGGGCATCAGAGTTCCTCAAGGGACCTTAGAAATGACTCGAAGCCCTTCCCTGGTTCCCACCGGCTGAGGCCACAAATGAGTAAACTGAGGCCCAGAGAGGGAGAGGGAAGTGGCCAAACCACAGAGCAGTGGGTCAAGAGGCAGGAGGCGCTGGGGCTATCTCACTGTGGGTCTCAGACAGGTCCTCCCCTCTCCAGCCTCAGTTTCCCCATCTGTGCAGGAAGAGTTGGGCATGCTAGGATTCAGTGCCCGAGGCTGGAACTCTGGGAGTGGTACAGCTCGTCGGGAGCCAGTCCGGGAGGTGCTGGGAGGGCTGGCGAAGGGCGAGTGGAGTCCTGGCCCCCCCGAGCTGCACTCATCAAAGAGCCGTGAGCTCAGCCCTGGGCTTGATGCAGCTCCAGATGTGAGCAGGCACTCTGGGTAGCTTCTGCCCTCAGTGACCCACAAGACAGCGTCCCTGCGGCGTGCATGGTCCCTGAGGACAGCCTGGGGGCCGAGAAGCCCCAGGGAAGGCTCTGGGGCTCCAGAGAGAGGCCTACTCAAGTCCCTCGACAGAAGAGACAGGGTCACCCCTACCCTGGTCCTTAGGAACATCACCATCTCTGTCGGCTCCTGTGCCAGCCAGCTAGCACCCCTGCCTCCCTGCCCCTCTCCCCATCCAGGATCCCATTTAGCCTCTGCCCATCTCAGTGCCCAGCTCCCCAGGTGGTTGGTCAGGGGCCACTCGCCCAGTGTCCCCCACCTCACAAGGGCCCCCTCACCTCTGGACTCAGGGGGGAGGCCAAGTGAGCGTGGGGCCTGGAGCAGCAGCAGGCCGCAGAGCACGAGGCTGGGGCCAGAGATGACCTTCATGTTTCTGGCAGCGCAGACAGCAGCCGGCACAGTTGTAGGGGCCAGTGGGGTCCCAGTCTTATCAACCTCGGTGCCCAGCCTCCCAGCCAGGCGGCCCCCCACTGACGTGGGGGCGGCAGCCCTGGCCCCCAGCCCCTTTGAGGGGCGGGGCCCGGGCTGAATGGAGGTGTGTGTGCTGGGAGAGGGAGGGAGCGGCCTGGCCCCCGCTCGAGAGGCCCCTGCAACCACAAGGGCTCCTTTGCCTGCAGAAGCAACCAGAGCTGCAGCTGGAATTCAGGAAATCTCAGGTGGGTGGAGGGTGGCTCCTCCCGCGGCTGGAGCCTACATGACATGGAGCTGCCACTCCAAGCCTGGGGAAGCCAGAGTCCAACGGCCTCCTGCCCCAGCCCGGCCGGCACCCTCAGCCCACACCCAAATTCTTCTCCCACCTGTAGTTCCAGCCCCAATTTCCTCATCAAACACGCTTCCCCTTCTCCAGCCTTGGCTGCCCCCTGCCTCTCCCCATACACCCCACTCTCCAGCTGCTCCTGGATTCTTGGAGTTCTCCTCCGGGCCTTTGCACATGCAGAGCCATCTGCCCAGCACACCCTTTCCTCCCGCTAACTCTGCACAACAGAATCTCTCAAGGTCGTAATCAGAGTAACGAGTACGTTAGCAGTTAGTACGTGCAAGGCCGTAGAGCAGATGGCTGAGAGCACAGACTTGGGAGGCATATTACCTGGGTTTGCTATACATTGCCTGTGTGACCGTGGGCAAGTTACTTCACCTCTCTGTGCCTCGGAGTCCTCATCTGGAAACGGGGAATGCTGACAGTGCTTACCTCCTGGGGTTGATTGGACGAGCACACTTATATGAAGTGCTCGTTTAATTCTCTTGACAACCTTGCAAGGCAGCCCCTATTATTACCCCCCAATTCCCAGATGAGGACCTGAAAACAGAGTTGTGAAGTAACTTGTCTAAGGTCACACAGCTAAGAAGTGTCGTCTCCAGGAGAGGGCCCAGGCCGGCGCTCTCAGCCACCCTGCTTGCTTGGATATGGCCTGGTGGAGGGGCATCCTCCATGCCCCCTCGCCCCCAACTCCCCTGGGTTAGGCCCCCTCCCTGGGCTTCCGTGCACCGTCTGTCTCACCCACCAGCAGGTAAGCTCTGATTGATTTATCTCTGCATCCGGGCCCAGCCCAGGGTCTGCACAGAGGAGGCAAAAATAAAGGCTTGTAAGTAAAGGATCGTAACCAGGAATGGTCCCTACCATTGCATCTGGGTCCAGTAGTCGACAGGATAGAGTGGAAAGAGCGTGGGCTTGGCCATCTGAGAGACCCAGGTTCAAATCTACTTCTGCTGCTCACCAGCTGTGTGACCTGGAGCAAGTGACTTAACATCTCTGAGCCTCAGCTTGTCATCATGCAAAATGACAAGGAAATGGTAGCTCTCAGCTTGCCTGCCTCACTGGGACCATGTGAGGAGGCAACGAGAGGACGGGAGTAACCATGGGGGTTGAAGGATTATCACCCTTCCAGGGGGTATCATCACTAACACTTCACTCTGTGTAAATTATCCCTCAGTGAAAGGAAATGTAGACAGTTTTTAAAAACTCATTGCCAGGCACAGCTGACCCGACCAACGTTCTCACAATCTTCAACAATCAAGGTAACGGTCCCTCCCACACGTGATATGGCAGTCACTCACTCCATCACTGTATCTCCTTCCTTCTCCCGACAAAACTGTGAGGTCAGCAGATCCAAGTGTATTAGCCCATTTGTCAGATGAGGACACTGAGGCCCAGAGAGGTTCATGACTTGCCTAAAGCCGCCCAGCCAGTTTAGGGGCAGAGCCAAGCCTGGATGGAACTCAGGTCTCATTTCTGTTTGCCGAAGTTTTAGAGAACTAGGTACTGAAAAGCATTTCTCTGACTTTTCCCATTTAAGTTTCATTTATGCGTATAATTCACAGCCCTCGTCAATTCCGAAAACCAGCCGAAGCTGCTGATTTCTTTTCTCTCTACCGCATGTAAGTCTAATTCTCTTTGGAGGTGCTGCATGGTGTGGTCTTTGTGGTGCTTATCAGTTCCCAAAATTGTGTTATAAATGTGTTACCTTCCTCCCCCCCCACCCCAGAGGATGTCAGCTGCCCCTAAGCAGGGGTCTTGCCTGTCTTGATCATTGCTGTATCCCTGGGATCCGGCGTGGTGCCTGGCACAGGGTATCAGGTGAGCAAATGAAGAAATGAATTAAAAGAAGGAACTAATGATGTACTGATGACAAGGGGCAGCCTGGGGTCAGCCATGGTGACCCGCAGGGAGAGAGGCACAGTGCTCTCCCTGTGGCCCCACTGATGGTGGACGAGGAGAACGTGAGCGGGACCCTCGCCCACCGCCCCCTCTCCCCCACGGACAGGGCTGTGTCCGGAGCTCGGGGTACAAAGCCCTCTTGGCCGGGGCGGCAGCTGGGCCCATGAAACAGCTCTTTCAGCTCCGGCTCTGAATGGCAGTTCTATGGCCTTCTCAGAGGAACACAGGCGCCTTTTCTGTGTCACTGCCCCGCTCATTAGCGGAGCTACAGAAATAGGCTACAGGTAAGTTTTCAGGAACAGAGACGGATTCCCAAAAAAGGGGCAGCTTTAACATTCCATAGCACAGGCTTCGGGGGGAGCAGAGCTGGAAGTTCAGCATATACCTTGAGGAAAGAAAGTAAATATTTGTGTTTTTAAGATGTGAAACATTTTTCCCCAGGAATCAAAATCGGGAACAGTGTGTCCGGTATTGGCCGGAGGAAAAAATGCATTAACGGGCCTTCTTCGAGGCTGTTCCCTAAGTCAGACAAGCAGCCGTGAAGGGCTCCCGCTGTCCCCTCTCCTTGTTTTCACACACCTCAGGTTTCCAGAAACTTAAAGCCTTTAGTGTTTTATCCAAGAGGGAGCGTTTGTGATAAAATGAGAGGCCCCTGAGCAGAGTGTGGTTCAGTGGAAAGTGCATAGGACCCCACTCCTATGCCCCAGGCTCAGCCTCTTCCTTAAGAGCAGACCTGGTGAGCTCGTGCTCCTCTGATGAGAGATGCCACGTGGTTCGGGGCTGCGTGTCCCCTTCGTCCTTTGGCCGCCATGGTCGCAGTTTGGCTGGATCCACCTACACCTTTACTATTGCTTATTTAATCTTTCTCTTTCACTAACTCCAAACCAACTCACTTTTTGAAAAAATTTCTCCTCCTCCGAAGAAATAATAGCCATGAAATCACCGGTTTGATGCACAGTTTATATATTTATTCCAATGTGCCTTCAAATAAATTTAAAACTAATTCAACTTAACTTTTTCATCCACATATCACCAAAAGTTATCTTGCGTTCCAGTGCCTTGCATGCAGACTTGGAGGAAGCCTGTGAAGTGAAAAGCCCTGGGAACCAGACAGAACTGGCGTTGAGTACCTCTTCTGTCACCTGCCAGCTGTGTTGACTTCGGGTGAATCCCCTCACTTTGCTGCTCTTCTGTGTCGTGTCGGGAAAGTTGGGACCTCAATGCCCATGTCACAGGATGGTGGAGAATGAAAGGTATTGGATGCTGCTTCCTTGTTCATTGTTTTTCCAGTGCCTTCTTGTATCGGTCAGGATAGGATAGTAAGTTGCAGTAACAAACATCCCTCAAATCACAATGGCTTAACACAGGGACTGTTTCTGTCTCATGGCACAGTCTGGGGCTAGACAGGCGCCTCCCAGCTCCCCAAAGCTGCCTGCATCCTGCTGTCCCGCCATTTCCAGGTCCTTTGTCTCCAGCCACGTGGACGAGAGAGAGACAGCAAGTGTCTCTCCTGACAGCCTTGGACTAGGAGTACGTGTCACCCACCTCTGCCTAGAAGCCCAGGGGTAGGACGTGGGTATTAGTGAGTGGTGACACTCTCTGTCACCCTTCCCAAGAGAAAAAAGCTCCTGCTGGCCCTACGTCACCTCTAGAGGAAAATTCAAACAAAGCTGGACATTTAAGACCCTTCCCAATCTCCTGCTTGCCACCTTCCCCAGGCCACTGTCAGTCTCTCTCTCTCCCCCCCATCCCCTTCTCTTCTCTGCCCCAGAATGAGTCACTCTCTCCTAGCACATTTGTTTCCTTAATTGCAGCAGATTCCGTTTGGAGTTTACTTACTGGTTTTAGTGACTCTCCCCCACAAGACTGAGAGCCTCAGAGGCAGACTCTGCCTTTTGCACAAGCACATTATCTGAGTTTGTGCTCCACAAACAGTGACTCATTTTGTTTTGGGGGAAACATAAAACCTTGAATGTCAGGCTCTGAAGGAAACTCAAAGGTTATCTAGACCAGAATATCCAGCCTGGCCACCCCTCACGCCCACCTGGAGAGGTTGTGAAAAATACAGAATCCACCCACCCACGTTGGATGCCTCCTCGGGGCGGGGCCCGACGGTCAGCCCACACCCCCATGGGCAGCTGTAGGAGCTTTCCGTGGGGAGTGGCTCCCAGTGTCAATCATGCTGGGAGAGGGAATGAGCATTTGGAGGGGGAGGACTTAGATTCAGCTCTGGGGGCAACCATGGCAGACCCAGTGGACGCCCTCCGGCCCCACGGCCCTTCAGCCCCACGGCCCTTCAGCCCACCTGTGGGTTTACCTACAGCTGCACACTGACAGAGAGCAAGGCAGCCTGGGGATTCACCGTCCCCATGGCAGCCCTCGACCAGGGAGGGATGGGAGCTGTGGATAAACGCCTCGGCTTCCCGTTCCCAGAGGTGCTCCTCACACTTCCTCAAAGGGTCCCCAGCAGGGCTGAGCCCCACAGAGGTGACCTGTCTATTAATGCAATTTTTACTGGCTTTTACCCTTTCCCTGCCTCACTTTCCTGGGACTGCTGTCTTCCCTGGGACCACCTCCCAAATAAACGACCTGCACCCAAGTCCTTGTCTCAGGATCTGCTTTTGGGGGAACTTAACGGAAGCTAAGGCAAAGCTTTCTCAGTGTGGGAGTCCAAGACAAGGATGAGTTTGGGGCCTTCCCAGGGGTGGGGGAGAGCAGGCCCCTGACGGCGGGGGCAGGTGAGGGCGAGGAAGGGAGGTGCCCGAACAGGACCCCGGGGCCAGCCAGGAACTGCGGGCTCTGAGCAGAA